TGGTGGTGAACTGCTGCACGGAATTCATCCACCTCATCTCCTCCGAGGCCAACGAGATCTGCAACAAATCGGAGAAGAAAACCATCTCCCCTGAGCATGTCATACAAGGTAGGCTTCCGGAGGCGCTGTGCTGCTCCCGGGCGCCACGGGCCGCTCGGGCTTGGAGCCGCTCCTGTCCCGGTGCCGCGCTTTCCTCCGTGGTTGCTTGTAGGTACGTAAAAAGCCAAAGACCAGGGTCTGTTTGGGCTTTGGGAGAAAAGCGTGTGTTGCCCGGGTTGTCAGTCGCGTTGCACGGGAAGGCTGGCTTTGTGTGGTGAGAGCGGCTGAGTGTGCTCGGGACTCGCTCTCGTTTTGTGCTTCAGAGAAGCCTGCGGTGGTTTGAGTGAAGTCACCAAGTCCATTTGGTCTTTTTCGCACCTGGGAAACGACGGCTGCTTTTTCGAATGGTTATGCAGATGTCTTTTACAGTGTGCTGTAAGATCCTGAACTTCTTAAATGTTTCTGTAATTGGAGACTGACAAAAGACGTGTGATTGGGTATGTGGGGCCCAGGCTTTAATCCAGAGTCGTCTTGTCGGGATCCTGGAAAGAGTAAGATAGAGCTGTCCTTGGGGTCTGATTGGTTAAAATTAAGTATTTGTATCTGTTGTAGGAAGCATTTAAACGTGACCTTTGCCCTTGCATCTTTTTCTGCTGTTGTCTCCCACTTCCTCTTGCTTGAATAAATGGAGAGTTTTCTCTCTGTCTCTCGTTTGCTTTCCTTTAAATTCTGCTACAAACAAGGAGTTTCCTTGCCTCATCCTTAAGTCTGAAACGGGAATCTTTTAAGGAATCATTCTCTTTGCTGCTTAAGCAAAGGTTGTTTATACCAGTGTCTGCTGAAAACAAATTTATAGCAGTAATAGTGGAAGAGTATTCTGCTGCCCAGTAGAGATATTAACAGTAGTGTTTGCAGTAGAGCTATTTTCAGGACTGTGATGGTATCAAGTTAGTTTAAAAAGTGTTATGGGTTTTTTGTAATGATTCTCTCTTTGAAACAAAAAAACATCTGATTCCTTTGGATTATATCAGCTTGCTCTTCAGAAGAGTCTCAAGTACTTGACTCGATTATGAACAGCAAAAGAAAATACGTAGCATGTACGAGCTTTAATATTAAATAAAATACATATAAGTCTGGAAGTTTAGCAAAACAGCTCCATCTCAGAAGTTCAGGATGTGAAGAGTAAAACTTGGGCTTGCATGTGGAAGCATACTTTGGGTAAGATGCTTCTAAATGCATGGATTGTTTATCCAAGTGACCATCAAAACATTTGAGCTCAGTTCTTAGCACAGGAATATATGTGATCTTTAAGGCTGAGGACAATAAAGAATTAATGTATGAAAGTCTTTTTTGACCTTTAGTAATGGTCCTTAGAAAGGACCTGTTGCTGCCCTAGGGTTAGTCTGGGTTTTTTGGATAACAAATTGAAACCAAAATGCGTGTGTATACACACGTGTGTGTGCATGTCATCAGCAGGTGGTCCCAAACCAAGAATTTAGCTCGGTTCTATGTCTTTGTGTTACCAGATTTTAGAGTTAGGAAAAAAATATTTTCAAATTAGATGTGTACTTTTTAGTTAAATATTGCTAAAGGGAACTTTGGAGATGTATCCATTTTTGTAATGCTCCAGAGATGGAAGGAGTTGTTCTTGGATTTTCTGCTGTGCTTACATTTAAGGAGGTGTATGTGCTGTTAGCTTCTTCCAGATGCTAGTTGGTTGTCAGGTATTCCCTGTGTGGTATGAGGGTTTAGATAGTGAATTCTGGAAACAGTGGTTATGTGTATGTAGGTATAACATTTCAGCATTTTCATCCATCTTCATACATTCTAGATACTGCCCATGTTGACTGCCTCTTCACGTAGCTCCATGACAATGATGCTAACAAATAAAGTGATGAACATATGTTGTGGTCATCCAGATACCATGTTCCTTTGAATGCTTAAACCAGTTAATTTAGAAGTGAGGTTAATGGCTTCACACTTGGTCCAGCCGAAACCCAAGCTGCTGCCAAGAGGAATCTTTTTGTACCCTCCCTAGAGCTGGATCTAGCAACTGCTGATCCAACTGACCCTGCTGCTTCTTGAGAATCTAGGGGGGAGCACAGTTTTCTGTCAGGTGAGTTTGCTGATCTGACTGTTCCTGTAAACAAGAAGTTACTGGATTGGAAGCAAGGAGGAGGGGAGGGGATTTCAAAAAAGACATTGCGGTTGGTGATGCCCTGCCACCGGACTGTATTAGAGCTAATATGAAACTGCGCTTTGTCACTGTTCTTAGGTGTTTGGCAGCAGTGGTGGCAGCTTTAGACACCCCTTCGTTTGCTGCACTGATAAAAATGATTGTGTGGTGCTGAGATAGAACTTTTTCCCCCTGCCACTGGGTTATGCTTCAGGTAGATGAAGTCCCTGCCGTGTTTCATTGTGTGGTAGCACGAACACTTGACTGGCACAGTGCTGTCAACAGCACAGGGAAAGGAAAGCAGAAGCTTCTTGCATCCCATGAGAGATCTGATTTGCTAGATAGACTATGCCAAGCACTCCCTGACAGTGATATAACACAATGCAGCTTCCCTGGACAGTACCCAAAGGCATCAACACTACATAGTAGTTATAAGATAGTCTCCATGGTTATTGTTGAATCCTACCATCAGGAATCCAGTTGTGAGCCTGAGACTCTAATAAGCAAATGAATATCCTTCCACCTTGGAAGAGAAAATAGCCTCATTTGGTAGTTATGCGAGTCTTGACTAAGCAGGCTTTTTATGATAAATTAAACTTCCATTGAATTCTGAAAATGGTGAGATGTTAAATCACCGTTTTTATTAAGCCGATTACTTTGATTACTTGTCTACGTAGCACTGTTGTGCAGTAAGGTAGGCTGTGGATTGATGGCAAATTCTATAGCTTCTTTTAGGGGACTGTGAGGATACTGACTGTTTACGTTAGCAATTAATGTTAAAAAAATTCAAACAACTGTTAATGTTGGAAGTTATTTTTATTTGAGAGGAGCATGAGAATGTCAGATATAAATGACCTGATTATATAAAAAACAAATGTAGGACTAATTATGCTTAACTGATTAATCAGAGTTCTGCACCTTCATGCAGTATTTAAGAGTGGGAGGAAACCAGGGAAGGGACAGTTGTGATTTGGTGTTTGTAAATATGAGAAGTCTTCCAACCCTCCCCCCCCCCAAGATGCTGTGTTTTGGGATTCCATTGTTTAAATTTGGTGTGATCATTCTAACCTCAGTAAGATACCAAATTTTCATCAATCTGGGTAGACAGGTAGTTTTTAACGCTCAAGAAATAGAAAGACTGAGTTTTGGTGGAACAGTAGCTCTCCTAAAGCAGTCATCACTTGCCCCACATTTTAGCACCATGCTGGTATAAAGGGATTCATATTCCTCCCATGCATGTGTTCTGTAAAGCCTTGGTGTGTTTGAAGAAGATAGTAAACTTCTTAAGTTGTTTCACAGCCTGCAGAATTTTGATGCACTAGACCTATGGTGCATATATGGTTCTTCATGGCTTTGTTATGTTGAACAATTGTACAAATCTGTCTTGGTTATAGCACACATTTTCTTTTGGATATATTTTTTTTTTAGTGTGCTATATTCAATACATAACTAAGTTTTCCATTGATTTATTTTCATTTAAGAGACATTGTAAATTTCTGTAGAAACACATCTTGCTGTTGACTTCAGGTTGGACAGTTGTTCATGTTCTGATGCAACAGATTGCCAACCCTGATCACTGTGAATGTTCTTTTGAAGAACACCTATGTATTTGCTATGATGGTTCGTCTTAGTGATGGTAGACTTGTAGAGTTCTTTACATTTTATACTTGAAAAAATTACAATTTTTTGATATTTACAGTATATACTATTTACATGTTAAAATAGGTAATCAGTTCTGGACTGTGAGACATGGATTTGCCTCCTATCTGCTAAGGTTGGATTAAGCAAGTTTCTGAAGGTTTTTGGCAATTCTCAGAAACTGTGAGCTAATTGAAAAAAGTTTTTCCAGTGTTTGTGTGTGGTCTGAGGCTGGACTGACATAGTGTCCGGGAGTAATTTGATTATCTCTAAATCAGTTTGTGTTCTAACTTTATTTGTCCTAAGAAGTAAGTATTATTTAAATTCATTTGCCATCTCTTAAAGGAATGGTAGTCCTGCATGACTAGACAGCTATTCTGTACTGCCCTGTTGAAGACTATATTAATTGTCTCCTTTAGTACAGGTTGGAAGCTGAAAACTTACAGAAGGCCTTTGGGTTATTGTTTTGGTGTATGACACAATGACATGTTGCCATAATTATGGGTAGCGAAAAGGTTGATTAGAAAATTGGTGTTATCATCTAAGTTAGTGTAACTAACAGCTTGTTTATAACAAGATGTTGAGTCCTGTTGTGCAGTTTATTTTAGTGATATTTCTTGAATAGCTTGTGACATAAGGTTGAAATAAAGTAAGATAAAGGTTAAAACTATTGTTCTATAAAGAAAACTCTGATTTATTTCAATACAGGAAATGCACCAGGTGTTTTATTAAACTGAGACTTATTTCTAGTATAATTGGTGTTTATGTAATATTTCTAGCTATTCTGTAATAGGCTCCACTTTGAGGTTTGTGTACGTGTGGAGGCATATTGTAGTAAATGGTGAATCAGGAAACAGAGTGTGCCTTTTGTCACATGTTCTACCTGGGTTTTTATAATCCTTCCTGTTACTTTTGCATTCTTTAAAAAAATTTGTTGCAGGATATAGCTGCATTTTCGATTTCTTTGGGAAGATAAAAGTGCAAGAATTTAGTTTCTGAATACATTTTCATGTAGAGATAGATAAAAGGGTTTCTGTTGAGAAACAACAAAGAGCTCCTACTTAATTTTATATAACTTCATATGAGTGGACTATGCATTTTTAGCTTCTTGGCACTTGAAATGTGAATTTAGATATTAAAAGAAAAAAGCTAAAATGCATAGGTCTAAGGTAATATTAGTTTTTTCTGTCTTAATGAAGGATCCGTGATAATTTTACATGCATTGTTTTTCCTCTGTTATAGGTTGGTAATTTACTTCTACTTAAGACTTGTAGCAAAACTGCAAAGATAGAATCCCGGAGAGATTAGAGGTTAACAATTCAGATAGGAAGGACCTCTTGGTTGTGTAAATTCTGCTTGATTATGACATGTAAAAGATGGGAGAAAGATGTCTTTCAAAGAATAACACCTATCTCTAGCAAAACGTGTCTGAAAGCCCTGAATCCTCTGCAAGTGCAGACTTCTTTGGTTGTACTTGACTAACTAATTTTTTGAGCCTGAAAGCATGCGCCATTAAATGGCAGAGGAGAAGAGACAAGGAAAATAGCTGTCAGATCTTCTTACGAACACAGATTTTTATCACCAGTTGTTAGAAAAGTGATCAAACTTTTTACTACTTGAAAAAAATAATTTAAATAAACAATTTGATACCTATTATCAAAAGTTTTGTAAAAGATTAACAATGTGCTTTCTTTCTTTCATTCTAGCACTAGAAAGTTTGGGGTTTGGCTCCTATATCAGTGAAGTAAAAGAAGTCTTACAAGAATGCAAAACAGTAGCACTAAAGAGAAGAAAGGCCAGTTCACGCTTGGAGAACCTCGGCATACCGGAAGAAGAGCTTCTAAGGCAGCAACAGGAATTATTTGCAAAAGTAAGTGAAACAATAGTTGTACTGATGAAGCTCGAATAATTAATGCTGCAAATCTACTGCCGCAGAAACATGTGCATACCTCAAGAAGTATTCCATTCCTTGTGAATTGCTGTGGCATCTAAGATGCTATTGACCTTGGCCTGTTTGAATTGGGGAAATAAAGTCAACAAATAAGATGCTGCTACTTGTTACTTCTGTGATTTGACGTACAGGACTTTGTATATAAATTATACTCTAGGTTTAACAAGCATGGGGTTTTTTTGCTGCTACTTGGGTATTTCCATTCTACGGTGGAGAATATATTAAGAATTACTTGACAGAAGAAATAGAAGAATGGCAGCTAGTGTTCTAGGAAATTACCAGGTTTGATGCATTAAAAAGTGAAAATATCTTTTCTGTTTCTGGCCATTAGTGCACAAATGTTATTTCTTAGGCTTTGAAAGAAACATTTAATAGGATAAATTAGAAATTTTGTACTTTCTCATCTTCCTTTACTATTGGCAAGACTCTAATTGAGTGAATTCATGCATAAATTTTTAAAGAGGCCATTCAGGCATAGGAAAAACATTTGCCTGCAAATACTGTGGGCACGGACATACACACACATTCCTCTTCATCTCAGCCTTTTCCCCTCCCAGTTTTCCCAGATAGTTTGTGAACATCTCCAAGTTTAAATTACTAAAAGCCAAATTTATTTATTTCTCTTTCTACACTATCTCTCTAGTAGTCTCTTAGACAAGAAAACTATTCTCTAAACTAAGTGATGTGAAAGTTGTCTTGGATTTATCTTTCCTCTTACCCAAGGCATAAGTCTTATTTTCTCAGTTTGCTTACTTTAATTTCTTCTGGTGAAAATGCTTATTCAATTATGTGTTATCACGTCTGATTACTGAGACCTTCACTTCCCTTTGCTCTATTTGTATCTTGCTGAAACAATTAACTGTTGTTTTTCATATTACAACATGCCAACTGTTTTAATTTTAATTGCGTGATTAATTTTAAGGCATTTAAAATTTCAGTGTACCACATAGCTATTGTCAGCATGCAGTGAACTAGTTATGATAAATTAATCTGTGTCTAACTTTTGTTTGACTGTACTAACATTAGAAAGACCAATATGGCTGCTTCTGGATTAAGAGTGAGATTTACATATAATAGTCAGTTTGATACCTGTTGTTTACTTACTATTTTGTTAAAATAACTTAGTATGGTATACAAAATAAAAAAGCAGCAAATAAGGTGTGTTAAGGGAGTACTAACCCCTGAGTAACATTAAAAAAAATGCTGAAACCATGGCCACCTTATGTAAGTCACACTTTATCTAAGGAATGACCCCTTGAGGTATGTTCTATATATATATATATAT